TAACGAGTGCTGCAAGATGTTGTCTAGAGAAAATAGAAGATTATCCTGGCTTAACAGAAGTAGTCTTTGTAGATTCAGTGGCTGCCTAGGAACTAGTATTTGCATCACCCTTTTCCAAAGCTAGTGTTTGCATCACTCAGTTTAGCCCAGTGGTTCTCAACACTCCTAACACCTTAAATACAGTTCCTCTTGTTGTGAGCTACCAACCACAAAATTATTTTGTTGGTACTTATAACTTATAACTGTTATTTTGCTACCAGTATCACAGTTCCTTAGGCCATCTGAAATATGTATTTTCTGATGGTCATGACCTAAAGGTTGAAAACCGCTGGTTTAGCCAAAATTTGGAAATCACACTAACCCCCATCTCCCTTCACCACTGGCTTCAGCTGATAGAAGTAATAGCTATAATAGAGATTAATGAAAGCAGATGTAAGATAACCAACCCTATATGACAAGTCCTCACCCCTCCCTTCTGTATCCCCTCTGTTTCCACTTAAACCCTCATCTGTATGACAGGTAAAAATGTGCTTCCTTCCTTATCCCCCCATTCCACCAATCTTTGTTTTACTACTTGGTTCACTTTTTTTCATGCATACACACTCTATGGTTACTGTCCTCTGAAACCGAAATACTGTCACTGGGTAACTGGTCTCTACCCATAGTGCTCTGGCTCTTGGTCCACTCCCCTGGTGTATTACCAGAGACAGCCTTCAAAAGATGCACAAAATCACAGGACCCCTCACCTCCGGATAAGGTCCACTGTCTTCCACAGGGTCTGTGAGCTGACTTCTACTCTGCCTACTTTGCTATCATCAGTCTTCTTATCACCACATCCACTAATCTGAGGCTTTACACTTGACCTGGGAACCTTGAGAAATTAATTCATTTAATCCCTTTTAGATTGTTTCCTCACCTATAGGATAGTAGCAATTTTAGCTATTTCTCAGGGAAGAGGTTAACAAGTGTTAAATGCCTACAATTGTACCTGATTCAGTAAATACCTGAAAGTCTCACCTAATACCATTACCATCTCTAGCATTACAGTCCTTTCTGCCTCTCCCCTGACTCCCCCAAATTTCATTTTCCTGGCTTATGTTTAGGCCTAGACAGCTTCTCCAAGGATGCCCACTTGACCCACCAATGCTGGGTTAGATATTATCCCCCTATGCCTTCATGCTCCTGTTCTTGTAAACACTTCTCATATGCCTGTTTCTTTGCCTGACATACGTGCTCAAATCCTCAGGCCTAGTACTACATGCTTAGTAAATGCCTCAAAACTGGTCTATGAAAGTAGGCATCATCTGTGATATCACTTTTCCAGGCAGAGGCAAATGTATCCCAAGTTCCAAGCTAGTCTAGCTACACAGTAAAATTCTTTCTAAAAAAAAGAAAAAGGAAAAATATGTATTCAGTAAATGAAAAACAAAAACAAAAACAAAAAACCCGGAGACTGCTCAACGGTTGGTTAAGAGCACTGGCTGCTCTTCATAGGACCAGGGTTCAATTCCCACCACCCACATGGCAGCTCACAACTACCTGAAATTCCAGTTCTAGGAAACCTGACATTGTCTTCGGGCCTCCTTAGGCCCTGTATACACATGGTGCACAAACATAGATGAAAAACAAACAAACAAACAAAACTCATACACATAAAATAAACATATAAGCCTCTATCCAAAACTGGGGACCTACCTCAGTATTTGAGCGCTTACCTCCCATGTATGAAGTCCATGAAAAGAAAAAATGGACTTTATTAAACATACTATTTAGCACTCTCTGACTTTAGTGAACTATCAGATTTTTAGAGAGCACAATATGTTTGCTGTCTTATTCCTCATCTCTGGAACACTACTCCAAAGCCATGTTACCATCAGAACAAAATTCCAGCCAACTTTCATAAATATAAAAATCTCACTACAAGACACAGTAACTGATGAACCAAAGTGAACTTTGAAAGACTAAATGTAAACACCTAACCCCACCCTAACCACCTACAGCAGTGAGGATCATAGGAACTTCTAAGACTCCAGACTCCAAATAATCTCTTCTGTGTGCCTTTATGAAAAGAGGAGGACACAAAAAGTGAGCTTGTCATTGAAGTAATCCACTTAATCAGCTGACAAGTTTTGATCCAAGCTGCTGTCATAGTTCTGCTACTCCTGATCACTACAACTCCATATGCCCAATCCTACTGGCGGAATATGGGTACACAAACAATGAGAGAATATGAAGTAGTCTGGGTTCTAGATCAAGGATAGACAGTCTCATCTAAAAATACAGAAGCTAGTATAATTCCAGAACTGGCTTCAGCAGTAACACTTGCACTGTGGTGTGGAGAAGGGAGCTTTGCCAGAGGTACAACCATGCCTGGATTCCTGCTCTAGAGTGTCACTCTTCTGCAAATGAACTAATAAATCATTCCGTGTTTACCGAACACTAAAAAAAAAGGAGGGAAACACTAGCTTTGGCAATTACAAAAAGACAAAGATTGAATTATTTATTTCACTTCACTGTGAAGTCCTAGGGTAGTCAAATTTACAGCAGAAAACAAGAACGGTGTTTGCCAGGAGTCTTCAACAAGAAGTTAGTATGACCAGGAGAATTTCATTTGGAAAAGGTTAAGATTATTTGGGTTTGTCAACTGTACAACACTCTGAATATATTTAGTCCCACAAAATTGTGCTAAAACTGTTTCAATGCCAATTGTTTAAAATACATAACTGACACAATTTTTGAAAGCATCAGATTTTCAAGCATCAGATTTTCGCTGTCTGCAAAGTGGCCAATTACCAATTACATGGCCCTGAGCAAGTCCCATAAACTTTCTCTAAGCCTGTTTCTTCTGTAAAACAGGGATAATATTCAGTTCAGCTTGATCCAAGGATTAAATGACGTGCTCCACTAAAAACTTCAGTCCTATGACTGACTAACAAATGTTAGCTATTATTAATTGTAACAAGCAATTTCACAATCACTTTCTTGTCTCCATAGCACCCTACGAGACTTTACACATAATGAAACAGACTCAAAGGGCCACAAAAAGTGGCTCAGCTCCTTTCAGAAGTCAACACCAGTTAAATCTTGTGCTCTTAAGGCAAATGTCCTAATCTTGTCTCCACTGCCTGACACTACAAAGGCAAAGATCAAACCCTGCAAACAACTTCTCACTAGATTAGAAATCAGATCATTATGGTTACCAAAACCATTAGGAAACTAAAACAAAGTGACAACAAGAAAACACATCCATATGGCCTTTTCAATATGAGGCAGAGAGAGTGGCTGAGATTACACAGAGTCTTTTGAGATGTTCAATTACCTGAGACTCCTGATCTTGCGGCCTGAAAAAGTACTTCATACAAATGGCATATGGGAGAAATAACAACAAAAATTGACTGAAAGAAAGGCTACTGGGAATTCTGGTAATAACCAAGATAGTCCATTTATTTAGACAACATTCCCCTTTCCAAGGATCAGTTAAAAGGAAAGAAAGGGGGTGGACTATTGAGCCATCAACCTCCTATATATCCTTTAAGAGTAACCTAGACTCTTAAAGGATGGATGAAGCACAGCCCACCGACAAGTTCAAGGAACTAACCCAAGCATGAGAACGGTATCCAGCCCTGCCTGAGTTTTCAGGTGATCCCACAGCCAATTCAAAGTCACTGCAAAGGGAAACAGTTGCCAAGCTAATTTCAGTTCACTCTAACCCCTCTAGGCCTTATTGGGAGACAAAGAAAAATATCACTACTTGAAGGTAGTGAGTTGAAGATGACGACTTAAGCTACCTACATCCCTCACCACCTAACCAGGATCATAAAGAACATACAAGATTAATCTAAACACCCCAGAACTTCATTTATGTTTGAGACTTGGAGCTCTCTGAATCCATCTACCCACAACACCAGCATTTAAAAAAAAAATCCTAATAACTTTCCTTCAGAGTTCTGATTAGCAACGAAAGGGCAATTTTATCTATGTCAGATCGGTCAAGGTCTCAGGAAGGAACCCAGGGTTCCGTTTCGTTAACTAATACGGTGTTAAGCCTAACGTAAAGTCAAAATGCCCTCTGCACAAAGAGATGGCACATGCTCATATCAGGAAATAAGGAATGGTTACTAACGCTTTGTATTTCTATGGCTGTTTCTTTTCTCTGCACCTCGATTCCTACTCCTGTGGGTAGGAACAACTCTGGAAGACCGCTGCGGACATTAGGCGATACATTCACAAAGTTCCCCGGTCAGTCTCACCAGAAGTTACCTGTTGGCATTTAACACTTCTGTCGTGTACTAACCCCACCCCACCCCCGAATTCACTAACACCTGAGAGGCCGCGTCCCTTCTTGACCCCATTCCGCCCAGGAGAAAACTGAGGCTGCGGCTGGAGCTAAGTGTGGGACGAAGCCCCAGTTCCTGGGCTGGTCGTTCCCTTCCGCGCCCCAGATGACAACGACCACAGGATAAGCAAGGTGGGCGAGCGAGGCGCTCACACCCGTGAGGAAAAAGGACCAGTTCTGCGCGCTCAAGGGAACCCAAAGAGCTGGGAAGCCGGAGGAAACCCGGGGTCCCCGGCCCAGGCCCGAGCCAGGCCCCGGCCCGCCGAGGCCTCCCCGGCGCAACCTCCGCTCCCTCCCCTCCTCCCCTCGCCGGCCGGGGCGGGGCGCGAGCACAAAAGACTCCAACTTCCTAGCGGGCACCGGCCCACCCCCAACTCCTGGCCCCGGCCGGGCCGGCCGGCCACGGGCGAGCTGCGAACGCCGGGCGGCCAGGGGCGGGCGCGGGTGGCCCCGGGGCACCGGGAGCGGCGGGCCCGGGAGGGGGAGGTGCGGAGGGAGGGGGCCGAGAGTTACTCCGGCTGCCGGGACTCCCGGGACGGCGGCAGGAAGAGAGTTTCTAAAAATAGGCAACGGCCCGCCGGAGGAGGGGAGGACCGGAGAGGCACAAGCAACAGCCCGGCCGGCCGGCCGCACTCCTCGGGAGCGGCCCGCGGCCCCCACTCACCCGCGCCGAGGTCCGGAGGAAGCCGCGCGGCGCGGAAGGCGACGGCGCGGCCGCTCTCGGAGGGCGGGAGGCAGGAGGCGGCCCCGGCCGCCGCGTGAGGAGCCCGAGCACACGCGCGGGGAGTCGCGACCGCTTCCGCCCCTCGGCTGCCCTCGGCCCCGCGCCGCTCGCGCGCCCCGCCGCACTGACGGAGACGCGAGCCCCGCAGCCGCGGGTCCTTCTGTCGGCCGCCACCACTCGGGCGCGCGCGGGGAGGGGGCGGGCCGGGCCGGCCTCCGCACTCGGCCTGCCCGCCGCCGCGCCACCGGCCGGGTGCTCGTCTCGGCCCCGCGGAACGGACGGAGCCCCCCGAGCGCTCAGCCCTCTGCGCCGCCCCACCCGGGGCGCTCTCCAAATGCGCGCCCCCCTGCGCCCTCCCCTCCTCCGCGTCGGGCTTTGGAAAGGTCCAGAGCTTCGGCGCGGAGAGGAGGAGGGCGGGGCCGGGGCGGGGCCTGCGGGAGGAGGGACTCCGGAGGCCGGCGGCTCCGACCTGCCCAGCCCGGAGCTGGAGGCCGGGCGGGGTTCCCGAGGGCTGACGAGCCGGACGAGCTGGGGAGGAGCGTGCCCAGGGGAGGAGGAGCCTGAGGGGCTGGAAGAAGTGGGTCGGGAAGCGCCGCGGCCAGGAGGGGCCTGAGCAGGAGCCGGAAGGAGGAGGGTCCTAGAGGCGGAGCGAGGGGGTGGGGCTTGAGTGGGCGAGGCCTGGGGATGGGGCTCTCTGTTAGCTGCGGGCCGGGCGGCAGGGTCTCCGGTTATTTCACTTTCTAGGAATTAGAGTGCTGCCCCGTTCCCTGCGAAGGCTGGGATTGGGCGAAGAGGCTTCGGGGTCCGGGGTCTTGGGTGCCTCTCCTCAAAAAAAAAAAAAAAAAAGCCTAGTCAAGTAGTTATGTCCATAGAGGATGAAATGTTTTCTTTTTATCTTTTTTCCACCTGCTTCTGCCTCCTCTGGTTTTTTGGGGTTTTAGAGATAGGGTTCCTCTGCATAGTTCTAGCTGTCCTGGAACTCGCCCTGTAGCCAAGGATGATCTTGAATTCCTCCTGATCTCTCTGCCTCTACCTTCCAACTGCTGGGATCATAGCGATGCCAAGGCCTTCTTAGCTGGGGAATGAGTGATTTCAAACAGGTTCTCAGCCTTGGTGAGCAATCACTCTTACCCACTAAACCATCTCTCCAACTCCAAGACCAGGAATTCTTTACTGATTTGGTGCATCACTGTGTTTCCAGACCTTATACATACTCGGGTGAACAATAAGCACTTCCATCAATCAGTCCAGCCACTAGAACGTGCTCTGCTCTTTGTTTTATCCGGGCTCCTTGCTTCCTTCTCTGTGCAATAGTCTTGCCGTATTTGCTTGAAAATACCAATATTTTTTGTTGTGTTTTTTTGTTTGTTTTTCAAGACAGGCTCATCTCTGTGTAGCCCTGTTCTGGAACTCACTCTCTAAAGCAGGGTGACCTTAAACTCAGAGATCCGACTGCCTCTGTCTCTTGAGTACTGAGATTAAAGGTGTGCACCACTGAGGGACCACCCGGGAATGAGAAAAACAACTGTGATTATTTGAATTGAAGCCAGGTGCAGATAACTCTTGAACTGCAGGGTGAACTGTTTTGAGAAAAACCATTAGCAACCAGCTGGAAACTATCTACAACCAGCTGTAAACTATAGAGCAAAAGTGGTCTGATTTTCAGGTATAAAAACCCTGTGCTTTGCATGTTCGGGGTCATCTCCTGCTTTTGGAGGAGCGACCTCATCGCTATTGGAATAAAACCTCTTGCTTTTGCATCGAGTTGTAGTCTGTGAGTGTTCCTGGGAAGGGTGCGATCCTGAGCTCCTGAGCAGTGAGACTCCAGGTCTTATACCACCACTGCCAGACTTTGAATATACCAATCTATTAACGCCTTCTGTTGTGGAATTTTCACTTTTCCACTTCTCTCCAGACACCTCAAGCTCATCCCATCAACTATGGTGCCACCTCCTCTGAGAAGTTCTTTCTGAACTCTTAACCCTACTAGACAAGTTGCAGCTATTGCCCTGTTCTGTTCATGGCTTCCATTATTTAAAAAAAAAAAAAAAATGCAGGTGTTACTCTGCTGCCACTGAGAAAGCTGTCCATGTTCTACAGGGTCCTGTGTAACTTATCACGTGACACCCTTCTGACATGGTGTAAGTTTTAGTCTGCTATGTTGCTCCAGCTACATTTTGGCCTTTTTCCTGGTCTTCTAAAATGCCAGGAATACTGCTTCTTTTGGGTCTTTGCCTTTGTTATTGTGTTGGCCTCATATACTTGTCCTGGATAATAGTATGAGTAAGGTATAATGGCTCACTTCTCACCATCTTAACTATTTTTTTTTGTTTTTTTTTTGGGGGGGGGAGATTAATAGTGTTTTTTGTTTGTTTGTTTGTTTGTTTGTTTGTTTTATGTTTCTTTGAGACAGGGTCTCACTATGTATCTCTGGCTGTCCTGGAACTCACTATGTAGACCAGGCTAGCCTCAAACTCCCGGAGATTTGCCTGCCTCTGCCTCCTAAATGCTGGGGTTAAAGATGTAGACTACAGCCAGCTATCTTCAGGCTTTCTAAAAAGAAGTCTGACATGGTCAAGAGTGATGGTTCATGCCTTTAATCCCAGCACTTAGGAGGCAGAGGCAGGCAGAACACTGGAAGTTTAAGGCCATCCAGGTTTACTTACCACTTTCAGGACCAGCCAAGGCTATATAGTGAAACCCTTTAGATAGATAGATAGATAGATAGATAGATAGATAGATAGATAGATAG